AACTTCGATTAATAAATTTTATGAAATAGTACTAAAAAAATTTTATTAAATAATTTTGTAGAAGTAAATATATATTAAAACAAATATAATCTAGTAATTTTTGTTTTTTTTCTAAATTTTAATTTGAAAATGTGTATTTTGTATGATACTTAAACATTTAATTAAAAAAAACATAGTCGTATTAATAAAAATAAAAAATACAATCTATCAACTTGAATATAGTTTATCATTGATTCATTCACGCCATCATCTTGTATCGGTGAATTTAAAAATAGATAAACTAATGAATTAAGGTGCAAAAGATATACTTTTAGAAGAATATGGATCAAATTTAAGCCAAAATAAAAACAATTTGAACCAAATAAGTAATTTAACATAATATTCATAGTGAATAATACTAATGAAGCAAGTGGATTTTGGATTTATGTAGAGAAAATAATTAATATAAAAATAAAAGAGAATATAATATAATAAAAACAAAATTTATGAAGAAAGAAAGACGTTACCTTATATATACATCAAGTTTGAACGGCGCGTGGGGCCCGCACTCGGGATGTGATGTCAGCAAAGAACCCGGCCGTTACATTCGTGGCCACCGACTGAAACGTGGCGTCCACAAATTGGTCTAATCTGATGATGGGCCCCACTTTGAACGCCGAACTTCGAATTTTGACCTTTTTCATTGGCCACCTCCTCGTAAAATTAAAAAGAAAAAAAGAAAAGAAAAAGACCCATTTTTATTTTCCACGAAATCAAAAGTATTATGGTCTGTTTGTTTTTTACTAAAAAAAAAAATCCCTCCTTTTTCAACAAATGGGTTATTTTTTGGAAAGTTGGACGAACTCATTCAACTATTGAGTTTTTGAGTGACTTTGGGTGGTTTCAAAAGGGTGTCATCATTAATTAAATGGAAATATAAAACTTTAAATAAAAAACAGAAACAAAAAAATTCAGATTGTGCACTTGGTCAAAAGGGTAATTTTGGATGGAAAAATATTGATGTGTCGTATTTTGAATGGGATTGAGACTCGGGATCACCTCTTCTTTGGAGGTATGTTTGTTTGGGGGGTAGGATTGTATCGACAGGCTGCTCGCATAATATTTGCCTATGAGATATACAACTAGCGTAGATACATTGTATTAGTAGAGGGTGTTCACCTGTAGAGTTTGGAGGATTGTTTGGACTACTTCTAATATCTCATATTTGGAGATAACGTAATTTTAAGATTCACGAGGTGTCCATTATTGTCCAATTTCGGTTATTTAACTATTTGGTGGGATAACTTTCGTTATAGATCCCAACCATTGATAGAGTGATTTATTTTCAGAATTGAGTTGTTTTTTCTCGGTTCTGATGATCAAATTTTCAGGTATTGAGATTTTTTTTTTTGGTAATATTCATAATCTTTTCAATCTTTTTTACTTTTGAAAAGATGTACTATTTCTATATGTGAGAAATATACCAAAGAAGTAGGTCTAGAGGAAGTCGTACGCTCCAATTAAGAAAAATTGATAATATATCATAATTACAAAAGACCTTTAATTTAGAGGACCAAGAGAATGCATAGACTCTTAAACCTGTTCAAACTTTTTTATGCAATCGAACATTAAAAATTTGATCTCACTTCTCTCTCCCTCCGTACAATTCTCTTTCTTACTTATCAAAAGTCTTATGCCCTTTGGTCAGTGTAGAAGAGTCTATTTTTCTTTGAATAATACTTGGCTACTAATCGATACGTAGAAATCTTTCTACTAGTCAACTACCACGAAGAAATCTAGCAGCCATTTATTTTTTTGGAAAGGAAAAAACTCTTCCTTTTATTATAATTTTTTCATATTTGTGAGTGTCCGAATCAGCTTATGTGCACTCAATTAATCTTATGGGGCAACCACTTGACTCTACAATATTTGGTGTCGAAAAACACGTAAGGAGAAAAAGCTATTTTTTTTTATTACTTTTCTGCATTCGTCTCTCTTGCTTGTCATAAAGGTTCCAACGGACCAGTTAGTACCGAAGCATGGTTCTTTTCCTTATGGATATGGATCTCTTCTAGCCTTTTTGTTACCCTCTTTCCCCTTTTGGCCTTTTATAGTAAATGAAAAAGGGTGAGTCATATTCAACTCAACCCCACCATAGAGTTAAGAGTTACAAAAATAGAGAGAGAAAGTTGACGTCTTTTGCCCTCCACGCAGCTTAAAACACGCAGTGTGGCAAAATATAGACAGTCTCTTAGACACGTCTCCAAACCTACCAAATACAGATTTTTTTCAAAACCCTGTTAACATATATCTAATGGTTATTATAAGACACGAAAATTTTCTAATCGACGTCTAACAGTCATATTGTGACAGTTCCATTCAATAATTTTTCATCCGCTCCTCGAAAGCGTGTTGTTTTCCTTTCTCTTTCGTTCAACTCTGACTCATGAAGAGGAAAAGAGAGAGCTTGTAGAGGTAGAATTTGTAGAGAGAATACCCATAAAGAAAAAGAAAAAAAAAAGACGTTAAA